AAAATTCACTTGATAGGACAATATTGGGGATAAATTGCGCAAATGGTGAAGGTTTCGCCTTCTTTTGTCAGAGCTCACCCACTTTTCAGTCGCCAGGCATACCTTTGTCCAAACATATTTTTTTTCGCAACCTCTACCAACTGGTAGTCAGTCGACCACAGTAGTGGTGGTATCGTTATGATTATAAAGCATACAGAAGAAGTGTTTCTGATAGAAAAATATCATATTTTCTGAAGTTTTCTGTAGCATATATAAATCGTATAATGAGAAACACTTCAGTACCTCCCAAGGATATTGCAGTTTCTCTGAAGAAAGGCTGTAAAATTTGTAAATTAAATGAATTCTCTGTTAGCTTTTAAAAACTGACTCCTTACGTTTGGATTCAAATTCGTTTTAGGTTATTAATTGACACTTCACATCGTAAGAGGCATCGTTTAAATTAGTTCAAACTATTCCTAATTCACTGTTGCACGCCGTTTTTTGCTTTGAATCAATTAAACTACAGAACTTTGCTTTGTGTGACGCCATTGTACCTTAGCATGGGGTCAAAACTACTCGTATTGAGTAATTATTGTTTATTGTAAATGCATAGACATGTATATATGTATGTATGTACGAATGTGTTTATTTTTATTTTAAAATGAAAGTGAGCGCTGTCGCTTCTTTTCTGACTTTGCTCTTCCTTGTCAGCTAATGATGCTCACATTTTTTTGGTGGATTTGTTTTTATAACAACCAATAACAACAACTTGTCGTCGCATAAAATGTGCCATAAAATATTTGTATACTAATACAGATATGTGTTTAAACATCCCTGCAAACATTTGTGAATCATATGGTCTATTGGAGTAATCCAAAGGGTACTCCATTGTAGTGTACTATTGGATCAACTTACCATGCTTCAACGATCACAATTACTAAACGAAGTTGCACGCGCGAGTAAAGATTTATACTCGTGTAAAGAAATTTTAGCAAACGTCTTTCAATGCAAATAAATGAAAAATGAAAATTGATATACTACGTTATATAATATATTTTTTTGAAATAAATGAAACTACAATATTAAGAGATATTTACTTAAAAAAATATGTTTTACTATCTTTCCACCAAAACCGATTGTATTCAAAACTAAAAAGTATGTTCGAATGTGAATTGTTGTATATTGCCCTATAACGTAAGCAACTTTAGGGGATCCTCCCATGGTTTTGGATCAAAAAAATCGTTTTTTTTTTTAACAAAAAATTACAGCCGTATATTTGTAGAGTATGTGTTCAACGGGATTTTGCAATAGGATGAATATTTTTAAAATGACAACAACTCAAAAACATTTGTCTCACGCACGCTGCAAGATTCAAAAAATTTTGAACGCATTTTTCTCGAAACCATGTTTTCCAATCCAACTTCAAGCCCCGAGCTTGATCTATTCTTCTTATTTATTTTATGTAAAAAAATGCTTCAAAGTGCAAATGTAGTTTTTTATACGTCTTGAACCTAAAATTAGCATTAATAATTAATTATTTTTTTTTTATTGTAATTGAAGTGAAAAAGTAGCAAAAAATTTAACTTTATAATTGCAATAAGCATTAAGCAAAAAATATATGGATAAATTTGTTTCTACTGAGAGTTAAGACGCAGATCTTCAAGCAATGACAACGATTTTTAATTTCAGTCTACTAAACAAGGCTGCAGGCTTGAAGGTGTTGGACCATGTTTGTAATTACAGAGGCCGACGGAAAGCGCCATTTTGTAGCCATTTTGAATTTCAACTTTTTTTTTGCCGTTTTAAAATCTCAAATAATAAACAAATTTAATAGTCAAAACCGGAAGTTCGTACGCCTTTTCATTCTCCTACAAAACAATACAAACTTTGCCTGATTTTTGCTCAATATCAGGGGAAGGTCTCTTTTAGGTACTCCATGGATGCACATGTGGAGTATATGGCTATAGATTTCACGAGTGTATGGACTAATCGCGTTATTCCCTGGGTTATATTATACACATACTTATGTTCATGCATATGAAAGGGTTAGTTGCCGATGTATATAGGGACATCCATCTTGTGGTTACGCAAAGAAACGGTTCATGAAATTCATTTTAAATTATAAATTTTGAACTTTGGCAATACATGTATTTGAAATACTCATGATTGCAATAAACACCTCGCGATTTTTTAAAATTTTCGATACATTTGGGGTAAATTTCGACAACTTTTGAACAAATATTGTGCAATATGTCAGCCATAATATGATTAAATGTTGATTTTCACGTACTCAAGAGTTAAAATTTTATTCTCATAAGCAAGAATCTTACGCTCTAAAACTCGGAGGCCAATGAACATTGCCTAGACGAGAGATTACCGGGCCGGGAAATTTCTCTTGCAATAAAGCCAGATTAGCTCGTGTGATGTGGCGTGTGACACCATCTGATTGGGACCACATATTGTCTAGGTCGTGTTCTTCAAAAAGTCGCTTGCTATAAGACCATAACGCTCCGAACAGACAGTGACAGTCTCACCCTTGTCGACGTAACTCCAATCATACCTTCGAACCAAACAGTAAGTTTTTTTTTTTTGGAGAGAGCTCTCTTCAATTATTTGAGGTTTTTTGGAGCCCAAAAGCGACAAGTTTGTTTGTTTATGTATCCCCCGAGTCAGAAATTCGCCTCGTCGTGGGCAAAAGATTTTTCAGAAAAATCGACATCCATCGCTGGTTTTTAAAGCACCGAATCGGCGCGGACTTGTGGTTCTGAATGGGCAGCTGGCTTTAGTCCATATACCAAATATTCCATAATGTACTTTAAGAAAGTCCCAACTCTTGAGAACGTCGAGTAGTTGCTTCAGTCAGGCTTTCGGCTACATTTTCACTTACAGTAGGTAAATTTTGTGTGGAACGAGCAAAACGATAATGCTCAGGCCTTGAAATATCTGTGACCGATCCAGTACCTTCAAATTTCTTTGAAATTTTGGCTTTTGCATGAGTAAAAGGACCATACCATGTACCATAATCTTCCCTTAAGGTGCGAAACGGGCCCAATAACCGGTGCTAAACCATCCATTTGCATAAACGTCTGATTTATAGGCAAAACAACAAATTTATTGATTTGACAGTTAAGTTTGACAAATGATTGTTGTTCTTTTGAGAGCACGAAATGGCTTACCCCATATATATCGGTATACTTCTAAGCGAGGAAAAAACAAAATCAACTGCAACAAGTGCAGTAAAAAGTGTTTGATCGAAAGAGAGGAAATGTGCTATTAGCAGTTTTACTATAGATTTTTATTGTTAAATCGAAGTACAGTTAGATATAATATGTATATTAATACCAGGCGAATGCATAAAAGTAAAAATTTAGCTGTAATTAATTGAGAAAGGCTTTCAACAAAAACGAATGGCAACGAAAATCGAACGAATTTTCTGATCTTATGAACAATATTTCGAAATGCTTTCTCAACCTTAATTGAGGCCTGTCCAAAAGTGGTATTAGATCTTTTTACCAGATTTTGGTCCGAAATACATTGGCATCGCAAACAAATATTAATATGCAGGAACATGAAAATAGTATTACAATTGAAAGTTTCTTATGATTAAAACCCTGAATCATTTTTGAAAAATGTTTTACTGATAGCTTTTATATCCAACCATAAATCACGTCAATCACTGCTCTTAACTTGAAAAAGAATCTGTTCGATCCTTCCCTATCCTTCGAATAAGTCCGTCCCTATTCCACTTCTCTGAAGAAAATGTAGTACTCACGTTAATCCAAGCAATAAGTTATCCCCGCAACTCTTGCCAACAGGTGATACTCTTCACTGAGTAGGCTACTGAATAGACAAATCCTCCTCGATTAACGAAAACCAAAATCTACAAGTATCTCAGTTTTCTCGACCTGCTATATTGTGCGAAGGCATGAATGGTGACAACATGTGATGAGTCGCCATTAAGAGTGTTCGAGGGAAAGGTTTTGCGTAAGATTTATGATTCTCTGCGTGTTGGGAATGGCAAATACCGTAGTCGATGGAACGATGAACTGTACGAGATGCAGGACGACATTGACATAGTTCAGCGAATGAAGAGATCTCGGCTGTGCTGACTAGGCCACGACGTTCGAATGGTTGAAAGCACTCCAGCTTTGAAGGTATTCATTGCAGTACCCAACGGTGGAAGCCGAAAAAGAGAAAGGCTTATACTCTGTTGGAAAGATCAGGTGTCTAGGTAAGATAAAAAGAAGAAGAAGCATAGATTATTTTGTTAATTTTCCAATTTGCATCTAAGTATGAATATCTAAAAAAATCTTAAGTGGTCTATCCTGGTACAGAGCTTGATTCAAGATATTTTTTTTAATTTTACAAAGCTTTTTTTTTGTACCGAAGTTTCTAGAAGCTCACCAATAATTGCACAAAATTTAAGTCAGCCCAAAATTCAACTTCATGTAGGGCATTATTACTTAACTATATTAGTATTTAAATTCACGTAATTACTAGGAAATCTTGCGGCAAACACATCTAATTATATATTAAATATTAAGAAATAGCTGTACCGACTTTCGGCCAAGCTCCTGCTCGAATTTGTGGTATGTTTTGCCAACTAATGGAGAGCCCTACAGTTTATACTAAGCCGCCTCCATATCGCTGAATGAATTTTATAAGGAGCTTTTATTTCATGTCAGAAATACACTCAGAGAGCTTGGTATTCTCTGCCGAGAGGCAGAGTTTTCGAGTATTTTTTAGGTCTTGCTAGAAAGAGGAATCGAACCTTAGCCTCCCGAATGCCAATATGGACTGCTAACCACTCTGCTATTGCGGCATGAATGTGAATTAATTTTTTATTTTCCTTAGTGATGATTTCCGATTTAAATTTTTTCTTCTTTTTTGTTATTTTTATACATAAATTTATATTTCGATTTTACTATTATGAGTTCGACTTGAATACTTTTTTTTTTACATTTTTTGTTAATATTTATAAATCTATTGAGCACAAACTACAAAGGCATTTTCATCGAACACTTTCAATATCATTTTAGCCAATCTACCGATAACATTGCATTCAGCTTCTGAATACGGTATTGTGTTTGTGTAATTAAAATGTTTAGAAAAACTGTGCACAAAATTTTTGCCTGGATCATGGCAGGCGTATTTTCTTTTTTGGTGTTTCCAATATTTTTTGTTATATCCTTCGTGGCAGTGAATATTGATAACTGGCTGTTGAAAGAGAAGAAGAGCATTGAAGGTGAAGTAGCTGTTGTAAGTGGCATAATAATTTAAATTATTTTAAAGAAATATTTGTATTCAAATTTTAAGCTAAAGGGACAAAAATTTTCCTTTGAATCACTATTTGCTTACTAAAACAAGTAAATAATTGTAAGCCTATTAAGCATATCGATAACAGTATTATATTGGGCCAAATAGAAATTCAGCCATTATTCTTGCCATAGATAAGTTTAGTGATCTGTATCTCGCGTTCTTTAGAGGCCCTCTATATTGTGCTCAAAAAGGTAATGGGAAAAGTGTTGATTACTCCACTCATTAGGGTTTGAGCTCGTGTCAAAGGACTTAAGCAAAGAAAAAATATGCAATATTCTACAATATTTCTGCGGTAAAAGTGAAAACGCAAGTCAGGCAGCCGAAAGTGGTAATAGGGTTTATGGCTCTGTTACTACAAAAATTTTAGTTTTGTCAACTTCGGACCGGTAATATTGATGATGAAGATGATCCACGCTGTGGAAGGCCAAATTGTCGAAAATGTTGTTGAATTAATGGAAATTGTCGAGTCTGACCATTCTATGACCTTTGTTTCGTTTGTCCAGGGGCTAAACATTGTATGCAAAAAAGTTTACAACCATTGGAAAAAGGGTGGGTACACAAGGAAACTTTGATGTACACGTATGTATGCTCATGGCTCAAATTTCCGTCTGCGAATCGCGGTACATTTCTAGAGCGGATGGTAACTGGTGATGAAAACTATATTACTAACAAAAACATCAAACGAAAATGGTCCTCATCATAGGACGGTTTCCAAACCAGGATTGGCGGCCAGGCAGGTTTTGTTATGTCTTTGGTAGGATAGATCATTGTAAGATGCTCAACTACGACCAAAGTCTGAATTCGAGCTTTTACTGTTAGCAATTTAACCGTCTGAAGGGAGCAGAAGCGTAGAAGCGCCAATATTTGGCTTCCAGAAGAGGAATTGGGCTTCATCAAGACAACACCAAACCACACACATCGTTAGTGACTCGTTAGAAGCTCCGAAAGGTTGGTTGCGATGCGAGGTTTTTATGCATCCAACTCATAGTCCGGACATCACACCACGAGATCTCATATTTTCCTGAATATAGTGAGAAATTGGACTCTAGAGAAACTAATGATACCTATAGAGACAAGGGTTTCTATATAGAGGCTTAATGACATTACCTTCGGTATGCCAAAAACAAGCAAAGTTATGCTTATTTGACAAAAATCAGAAAATTTTAATCATGGTAAATAAAGCCTTCAATTTAATGCAGAAAACGTGGCCGCGTTAACCAAGTAATTGGCATTGCGCTTTGCTACTTAGACGGACAGGGTTGGAGTCCTCCAAAAATTATAGAAAGTTAATTTAAATAAAAATTGATTTAGTTTTTTTTAACTGTGGTCGCCCCTTGGCAGATAATGTCCAATCTCCGTGTGTATTTTTGGCATAAAATAAAGTCTCCTCATAAAAAAACATCAGCGGTTTGTAGGCAGCTTAGTATAAAATGTAGATCCCTCTATTCGTTGGAAAACATAAAGACTCATACCACAAATTGGAGGAAGAACTCAGCTTGAGCGACTAAAAATGATATACTACAATAGCATTTGTAATATATTACAGTAATTCTAAGAATATAATTTTATATTTTTATTTTTATCACTGTTTCAATAATATACTTAAATAATTGCAATCAATTACTTGGTCTACAATTTAAATTTAATTTAAAGTAAAAAATAGTTGATAAAGGCTAAGTTGATAAAAACTGGATTTAGTTGATTTTTCCTTCATCAATTACTTACTATGTTGTTCTATAATTACCTTTACTATCTGTAGCATAATAAATTTTATAAAATATAACATGAGTTTGACCTTTAATATGCGGGCATATTTATTTATATTTATTATTCGTATATAGAGAGAGAATATTCCTAGCACCACGAAAACAAGTCCAGTAATAATGATACAAATATATCTGTAAAAAGTAGTAGAGCCTTAGACTGAGATACAATTTATACAAGAAATATTTACAATAAAAACAGTTCAGCCAGTACAAGCCTGCTACCAAGTTTTCAGCAGGAAATGTCAAGACCTTTGAGTATATTTCTGGCTTAAAAAGAAAATTCCTTTAAAATGTCGATCATTTAATGAGAAAAGATCAATGCGCGCATTACGAATTAAAGGATTACCTCGATCAGTAATAACTCTAACGAATATATGCGCCAATTATATATAAAGAGTGATCCATTTCGTACATTTTAGAGGAATAAAACACAGAAAATTCCAATTTAATGGCGAAAGAAAATTCTTTGACATTTATTTTTTGAAGATTATCTCTTTCAATTGTTGGCCGCGACTACGTCTCGGATGGTCCATCCGTTAAATTTTGTTGAAACATTTCAACTGATAGCTAGCGACTGACAAGCGTGATGTGTTGCTCCAAGGCCTGAATCGAAACGAGATTATCTGAAAAGACTTGCGACCTTACAATTTAGGAAAAAGTTTCGAAAGCGTCAGATCTTCTTAAAACTTCTCCAGATCAAGCGGCTTCTTACACAAGCTGTATTTTGTACGCTTTTAATTTAAGAGCCGTAAAATTCGCCAATTTGTTCCATACGTTAGTCCGAGTTGCTGCGAACAGCGCCGAATCGACTCTCTACGGTCTTCATGTACACTCTCAGCTACGGGCGCTATATTTTCTTCACTGCATGCTAGAGGTGGTCTACTCGGTGGTCGAATATTATCCAATGCTCGGTCTCAAGATGGGTGATGGTGTTGCGAATAGTACGGTCAGTAAGTCGATTATGTTACGTGATATTTCAGACGTTAGTCTTTCCATGATAAAATGCCAAACAATTCTGAGCATAAATAACATGACAGCTTGACACAACTCACGCTTTTTCTATTAAAAAAAAGGCTATTGAAAGAAGTAACTCTACTTGGATCAGCCGTATATGTATGTATATAGAATACGTTATGAGATTATTGCGTTAATTTTGCTGGTTTCCCGCTTTTTTAGTTTCCTCTGCAGCTTTTTTTACCTCGAAGAACTACTGCGGTACTCGGAAAGCTCGCAGGGTTGCCTGAGATGTACTTAGCTCAGTACAATAAAGTCCGGCGTCCACTCCATTAGACATAAATGCGCTCTCGGCATGTAATAAGCTACAGCTTATTTTTATTGCCCGCTTTTAATAGCTTCCCTTCAACAATACATATCCAAAAAAAAAAAGATCACGAGATGTAAATTAGTTAGAGCTAGAGAAAGAGTAAAGTTCACAGCTGCGGTAGCGTCTGCGGTAACTATAGATCTATCTAACATATACCTTTCCTTAAGCATATCAAGATGTTAACTACTCTTGGAGGGTTACACTTGGTCCTAGCGTCTGTGTGTTGAAGCTACTCAAACCGTATGAAACATTGTACCGTCTGAAGTCACCTTTATTGATAACATTATATTTTGTGTTATCAGGAAACGTTTGTTCTTTTAGCAACAGACAACATATAAAAAGAAAAAACAGAATAAAAAGTAAAATTCTTAAATACGCATACACGTACATTCAAAAACACAAAACTTCACCTGTGCTCAATGCATTTATCAGTTATAAATAATATTGCATACCAACAACAACATATCAGCAAATGTGGTCAATACAGATGCTCAGTTGGACAGACTGGCAAACCGTTTTAATCAGTAAACGCGAGACAACAGCGCAAAACGCAACGATTCCGCGGCGTATAAACATAAATAGAAATTAATTTTATAAAAATACATTGAATATACATTATTTATAAATCTCGAAATGTCGACTCAAACTTTTAAAATAATACGCGCTTGGCTGTTGATCGGTTTCATTTGGGCGTCCATGCCGATTGTTCTTACAATATCGATAGTGAAATATATCTACGATACTTTTATAGTGAAAAAAGAAATTAAAAACATAACTGGCGAAGTAGCTGTGGTAAATAAGAAAAAAATGTATACATATACATAGTATATAAAAATTGGAATATAAAATTAAGGAAATATTCTTAGTGAGTTTATTAAGCTGTATTCTTTTGCAATCAACTTACAATAGAACCTTAGATTGCTTATCGAATTATGCAGGAAGCAACTGCAAGAACAATATTCATACATATGTATGTATGTATGTATGCAGCTGACTTGATAATTATGGCAGTAATTTTAGTTGAAAACGGTTAATCAACATCCGACTTGTGCGAATTATAAAAAACGATCTATTGTGAATGAGTGGTAGAAAGCAAAAGTGTAAATCATTCGAAACTATCTTTATTTAAAAATATTTGCTGGAAAATTTGCAAAATTCTTGTTTGGGCAAGTAAGCAGTCATCCGTCGTTTTTGCATTAATTTAAAGGCTTTTTTTATATATTTTTCAATTTATTTTTCAATTCCTCACCAGACTAATCATTCGCCTTATACGGGAAAAGTTGGTAATCACTTGATGCGAGTCTGTAGGTCTGTAGGAGGAAACATAAGAGCATCCCAAACACCTCCTCCTGTCGGCCTAAGATGGGCGCTTAGAGGCGTTTGTTTACTTCAGACGGTTGAATAGCTGATAGCAGAGACCAGATTTGAGAGTTTGGGCGTAGAGGAGAAGCCCATGGAAGATGATTCCTTGCCCTTCCCACCAAACACACAACAAAACCTGCCAGGCCGGCAATCCTAGCTTGCAGTCCGTTTGTGCCGGCTCACTGCCCTTTGGCCGGGATTATTTCCATTTGGTGTTGCTATAAATGATCTACTTTTGATCAACAGACACCAACCGTTTCAGAAATGGGACGATTTTATTACGATTCGCAGATGGAAATTCGGTCTTTGAGGTTTTTTCACATTAACTTTTAATCTCACTGATATATAAGTGTTTGTGTTGATCGGAAAAACAAACCAGATCGACTGGCGCTCTTCAAAGATCACTTCCGAAGCAATCTTATTTAAGAAATTTAAAAAAAAAGAATTCAAAATTTATTGCTAAAACCCACCGGCAAGCCATAAATGCTTGATTTTTTAATGAAAAATATTCTATTTATCCACATTTCCCAAATATCACAAATAAAATGCCAAATCCAAACGAGTTTAAGAAGGTTATATTACAATGTTAGGGAATTCAGGTTTATTAACTCATTTAACCAGTGAAGATTCATAAAAGTGCGAAGGAGAACAAGTACAAAAAGCTACCGTGTATTCTGTTTTTGATTTTTCGTACCGATATTCCAAATAATGATCGTTGGCTTTTAAATATATACGAACTCTCTATTCCACTCTTTTTCTCACACAAATCATAATCACAAAATCATATGGCTCAAGATCTTCGCATTTACGAATAGAAAATCAAATAAAATTCTAGCAAACAAATTATATATAACGTTTATGTGGATTCGTAGCGTATCGAACCGAAACGTTTAGAAAACTCCAACTTCGATGTTGTGAAACGAGGGCCTTATGGAGGCATACGTGGCCTTACTCTGTCACTCAAGCTTGAAAATGAAATGTTCAAAAAGGCAGCTGAGTTAAGTTCGAACGCCGATTTAATTCATTCTATAAGAATATAAGCTTGCTCTATTGTAGAGAGTGCTGTTTCCTAAAGCCTCATTGGTGAATGGCAGTTTATGGTTTCAACTCGTTTGACTTCCTCATGTTTTTAAGAATGAGTTTCTCGTACACTTTTAACAAGCTAGAGAAAAGACTAAGCTTGTTCTGCTGACTTGCCTGGTTTCAAAACAATCTTAACCTCAACTACCTTCTACTCGGCAGAGAAAACACTTTTTAAGATGTTAAAAATGTGAGCGATAAAGTTCAGGGCTTCGTTGGAAAGATTTTTGAGAACTTCAGCGATGATTTGCACTTAGTCTGGTGATTTGTGGTCTTTTAGATTATGGATAGTGCCTAGTATCTCAGTTCTAGTGCGGCAGCGGCAGTTACACTTGACGAAGTTACTCCTAAAAAGTAGAAACAAACGCATCTTTGGAAGTTTGGAAATAGTGAGGTGAGGGAAGTATACGTCTTTTAGATGGTCAGCATAAATTGCATTAGAGTAACCACTTCCTTAATATGGGAACAAAAAGATTCGAAAATCTCCTCACTATTTTGATGAGGAAAAAATTATACCAAACAAACATTTGAAAAAGTAAAGTTACCTATGTAAGTACGTGTATATGCTTTGAGCTTCTTTAGAATGACTACTTTTTACACAAATTCTCAGCAAATACCTTCATAATTCAGGAAGTAACTAATTAGTATAACCTTTTAATTGTAATTATCCACCTAACAAATGCAAAAGAAAAAAGTTTGTATATAAAAACTTCCACTTTCTATACGCTAATCGATGTGCTAAAGTTCAACAATTACAACAAGTCATAATAGAAATATATATACATTAATAGTTTACTCGTACATACATATGTATGTATGTATGCATGATTGTTTGCATATTTATTAAAATAACAACACACTATGTCAAATCGCTCAAAGCGTTAAATCGTTTGTAGATAAGCAATGCGCGAATCGTCTTAGATGGTAAGCATGAAGACACTTCTAGCCTCCTTTATCACTTAATCATAGCTACCATAAAGCTTGTCATCTTCTTTCTACACACACAAATATAGAAAAATTTGCAAAAAAAAAAACTCAAAAAGCACAAAAACAGCTAATAGATTCACGGTCTCTATTAATTATACACGTATTTTTTGCGCAAAAAAAAAAAATAAAAAAATGACCGACCGCCAGTTCAACAAATGCAAAACGTAAAAATAAGAGAATTTTTAATTATAGCCCATATTTTTTGCTAAAATGTTTGTAGCTAAATAGAATTAGTTTCACATTTAATGGAAATCAATATTATAAATACATAATACATTACATAAAAACAATTGTATGTATGTATGGGTTAAAAAAAAAAAAGAAGCAAGAGAAGAGTACTGTATGCCAAAATTCGATTTGATGATTTTCAACACTAATATAATACATATAAGAGGTGATCCATTTCGAAGTTACCTACTTCATTAAAGAATAAACCCAGGAAATTCAAGTTCTATGGCGAATATTTATTATCATTCAAAAGACCACTCTTTGACATTTATTTTTTGAAGATTAAGTAGAACCTGAAATTGTCTGCTCATTAAAGTATTCTCTCAATAAATCCATTGATTTAAGTAATGTGTCGCCGAGATCCCGCGCTTCAGATGAAAGCATAAAATAGTCGGATATCATGGTGCAATAACGGTCGCCATCTGCAACATTTTTGAAGAAATATGGACCGATAATTCCAATGGCTCACGAACCATACAAAATCGAATTACTTCAGCTTGCTCTTCGACCCAAATATGGCAGTTTTGCTTGCTTACATAACCATTGAGTCAGAAATGGACCTAAACGCTGAATGAAATTTGGCTCGAACCTGTCAAATCTCTTTGGAACTTTTCAGGCGTAAGTCTTTCCACGATGAAATGCCAAACGATACTGGACAAAAATAACCTGACAGGTTGACACGATTCACGCGTGATCTGTCAAAAAAGCCTATAACGTATATACAATATCATGATAACAAGTTTTCCGATCTTTGATACTATTTTGACAGGTTTTTTACCCAAAACCCTTTCTGCGAACAAATTGGCTGCATGAGAGCCATAATTTATATACACCTTTTTTTATTTATATTTTTTATAATAAGGGCTGTTTTCACAGATTAATGACCCAAAATATCAAATATATAAATCGGTCGTATATACATATGTTCTGTAGTGGTCTGATCTGACAGTTTTCAACAAAGAATCATTTGAATAAACAGTGTACCTGCGTACCAAATTCGATTGCAATATCTCAAAGACTAAAGTCTGTTCAAGAACAATTTTTACTTTTTTCATTGAAATATTTTTGATGGAATTCTACGATAAATCTTCCTACCTATAGTAACCGTTTAAAGCTTCCAATCCTACGTGTACCTATCCGCAAGTCGTAAAGAAATGTTCGGCGCATTGTTTGTAGTGAAACTTCTTAGAGAATCAATTTGTTGTCCATGGCTCTTACTTGAGGTAAACTTTAATGTGCCAACTCGTGTATCTAGCCAGTTTAGGCCTTTACTACTTAAGTAAAACATGAATGAAACTGAACTGAATGAACCATTTCACGATTTTCATTATCATTCCATCACCTTCGAGCCAGCAGACTCACTTTTTTGCATCAAAAAACTATTCGCTTCTGTACACATTTTAATTTAAAAATTCTTGAATTACTAATTTTCAGCTGTTGAATAAATATTTGTTTCTGTGGCTGAAGAGTTTTAAATCTCGACATTTAACACACGCTTGCCAATCGGCAAATTACGTAATTTATGCAGATGTCGTATGTTGAGTAAAGCCTTATCTAGAAATATTTAAATGAAACTACTTTACCAAACGAGTGGGATTCTCAAGAGATTTCTTGGAGCCAGAGATTTATTTATCGGATTTAGATTAGGTGTTTCAGACAAGTTGGTTTTTTATCGTGTGACTTTTCCAATTTGATTCTGGAGAAAATAATACAAGCTACAGAACTGAACTGGAAAGGAAAAATCTTCGAACGAGGATCTGTTGAGATATGTCTTGTCATCTAACAAACAGTCAGCACACTCGCGCCTTTACTCACACGTCACTGTTGACAGTCACAACCTCGAGGCCGTCGGCAACAATGCCAGCCGGGGAATCCATACAGCATAATTCTTGTCTTGCGGTGCCTTCCTGTAAGCAGCAGAAGCGTGGACAATGACGATATCTGATTTGTCGGCGCTAGTCGTTTTCGCGAAGAAGATTGTGCGAACGATTTATGAAACTTTGTGCATTTGCAACAATGAATACCAGAAACGATGGAAATATGAGTGTTGAGTTTTTGATGCAGCGAACATCGGCAGAGGCAGAAGAAATTCTCCACTCCTTGCAGAAGGACCTGCCTTCACTTGGTATATCCGAAACGATGGCCGAGAAAAAGGTGCGCAGGTGTGCTGTTGTCGATAAATAGGACGAAGGTGTACCCACCATGAGATATTTCTTCTATCTTAGACTGGTTATACCAATCTGTTGTTTTCCCTTCTCTTTAAATAGGGTTATAAGCGCATTTTGATACTGTCAGTCCCAAACAAAACTGGAAGTTGTTTTCATCATGCAGAACCATCTCTTGCCTTAAGTACAATAAGCAATGTAGCTGAATACTCGGAGAGAATGTGGATGACTTCGTAGAAAACACTGATTTCGTTTTTACTTATACACTTTTCTTTGAATTATCACATTGAAACCCAAGGCACATTAAATGGCATCTGTATTCTAGGATATTTTCGAAAAAATTCTCAACTTTCTAGGATCTCAGATCTAGATCGGCTCGTTGAAGGTTTCAGCTTTGCATGCAAAACTACGCTGAGATTTCATTCTCAACAAGAACTCCGAAGCCTGAAGAAAATGCTATGAACGACTCTTTAATTAGCAAAGTTTCCTCAAACTTGGCACTGTAAAAGACAGTAATTTACAAAACCAGCTGAGAAATTGTTGCTCGTTCGCATATCAATTTTTGCATTATATTGTAGTTTAGTTTTCACTTCCAAATATGTTAATTCAGACGATAAAGCAGCCACTTTTACGTGATGGAACTCGCTCAAGTTAACCCTTAAAGCCGGCCGGCCCATGATATGAATATTCTTATAATCGCCCTGAAAATCTAACATAAAAAAACAAAAAATTTAAAATTTTCTTCACACTATTTAATTTACAGTTGTAATAAAACTTATTTCACTTATTTCCTCTTCAACTGCAGATTACTGGCTCCGCAGGTGGTCTTGGTAAATGTATCGCCAAAGAGCTCGCCGCCAAGGGATGTAATGTTGCCATATGTGACATTAATTATGAGTTAGCTGTGTCGACCGCACAAGAGATCGCCGATAAGTATGGCGTTAAAGCAAAAGCCTATAAGGTCTTTACATTCAATGAATATTTAACAATTTATGCATTAACGAATCAATTTCTAGGTGGACGTTACGAAATATCAAGAAATCGTTGAACTCAATGAAAAATTAACCAAAGATATAGGCGCTGCCACAATACTAGTCAATAATGCTGGTTTGCTCTTGCACTCGGATCAGCTAAACCCTTCATTAGAGGAGATAGATTTGATGGTAAAAGTTAACTACACATCACATTTCTGGGTGAGTTGAGGCAGGATTTCTTTAAACTCCTTGAATATAAACGTAATTTATTTGCTTGTACTATTTCTTCCGCAGACGAATCGCGTTTTCATGGAGAATATGAAGAAAGTGCGTAAAGGTCACATTATGGCCATCAGCTCAATAGCCGGTAAGCAATTTTCACACTCAAAATATATTAAGTTTGTTCAGCTAACGGTTGTATGTAATGGCATGAAATAAATCGAGAAAACTTTTGACATACATATATACAATATATAAAAATTCATGGAATGGTAGGACAAATTATATTAGCCATGCTAGTTTGCTATATCGTACAATGGTTAACACATAGATTGAGTCACGAGTACAACACTATTGCAAGCGGTTGATATCACGACCACCTCCCACATAACAGTAATTTTCAAAAGGACAAAAAATCGCGATAATTCAGGAACTAAAAGGGCAATGCATGGCATACTTGGCGCTTTTAACCGCTGCAATGATTTTCAGTCGAGCTCCTCCTCCAATTTGTGGTATGCGTATTAATGTTAATGCTAAGCCGCCTCCAAAGAACAATGGATTTTTATGTGGAGCTTATTACTTCATGTCAGAGATGCCTTCGGACGTTTGTCATTCCCTGCTTAGAGCCGACCGTAATTCGAAAAATTAATTTTATTCTAAAATTTTGTATGTTGATCGAATCAGGACCTAAACCCGGCCCTCAGAATGGCAGTACTAACCACTATAATGTTCGGTTCGACTCGAAATTAGTTTTTCTTACTTGTTTTATATTTTTTTTATTTTGAAATTGCCCACAGGTCTCGTCACATTGCCACAGAGTGAGCCTTATTGCAGCACTAAAACTGCTGTACGTACCTTAATGCGCGTCCTACGCGCCGATCTGAAACTGCAAGAAATAAATTATATCGGACTTACAACGGTATTTCCATCATTTCTTCAAACTCATGGTCTAGTAAAACAGTTGGCCACTGAAAGCGGTTATGCGGACTTGTATCCACTCATGGCAGGAGAGGAGGTGGCCAAAAGAGCTGTGAATGGCATGTTACGTGATGAAGTTGAGATTGCGATACCCGGTTTCTTTGCGCTCAGTTATCGTCTATTAACGTGAGTACATAAAAATGGTTTCAAAATAAAATATACAGTAATGAGTTACTTTTCAATTGCAGACTTTTGCCCGCCAAAGCTCAGGATTGGGTAACTTACGCGCCGATTAGCAGAATGAATGGTGTGAAGAAAGCTTTTGAATCGATTAAGCGGAAATAAACGATAAGCTTGTTGATAATAATAAAGAAAATTGTTTCGAAATGTCTTCGAATAAATGCTAAATATTTAAATAATCGTGTTTATATATTAATTAAAAAGTAAGGAGAGCAATATCAGCTTAAGCGATTTTCGGCCGAACTTCTCCTCCCAACAAATTAAGGAACCTACAGTTTATACTAAGCCGCCTCCAAACGGCTGATGGTTTTTTATTTCATATCATAAATACACCCCGAGGCGTTGACATTTCCCTCCGAGGGGCGACCGCAACTAGGAAATTTAACTTAATTTTTTATTTCAATTAATTTTCCAAAAGTTGTTGAATGTTAGTACGACACCAGGATTTGAACCCGAGCCTTCCGAATCGCAGTACGCAATACCAACCACTCGGCTACCGTGGGCGTCAATCACCACCAAACAGCCATGAAAAAGCTCGGTTAGAATAGTCCAAACCGTACTATGAGCCGCCAACCAAATAAGAATATATTAATTGCATCATCGCATTCAAATAATAGGTTCATACCTTTGTCTATTAGTGGAAGAATCTTTAGTATTATCCCGCAGCAAAACTGTGTATCATCATCCATTACATGGGTTATGATTCCCGACCTTGCCACGCCTGGTAGTTTGCGTTAGACTCGGTTTTTAACGCTACGCCTCGAATGTGGCGATCGATAAGTGATGGGGACTAAGACCACATATTGTATACTGGCTATACAAACTAGTAATAAGACGCATATTATTCTACGAAGTCACTATCTAGTGGCCAGCATTAGACAAGACTACCTATAGGATCAAAGTAGGAAAATTTCAGCAGTTGGCTTATAGACTCATTACAGGTGCGCAGCTCTCAACTCCTATGAAAGCACTTGAAATTCTGCTTAATTTTCACTCGGCATGCATATGTATACAGGAAACTCTATGCGAGCTGCAATGCCATAAGACGCCCAAATACCGAACATCACTCTCGTAAAAGGTGAACTACACCAATTCTGTCTTCTGTTTCGACAATACAAAAACCCAAAAGAGGAATGAGTGTGAAAATTCAGCAGTACTGGATCACAGATCCTTAGTAATCTTCATCGACAGCTCTAAACTATATGGCAAAATAGGCTGTGGAGTTTACTGAACCTATTGCCATACCACTGCAGTGATTGCTTGTGTCCAACACGGTAACCCAACCTATTACAATATAAACAAACTCTCTACTGTAAGCAAAACGTCCGTGGTTTAGGTCCCGGGTTATAGGAATATGCCAAGGAAGTGGCCAGATAGGAAACAGCCACGGTAAATTCTGCATATGAAGTGGGCAAACCGCTTTCCATCGGCAATGTATCTGCTAAGATTAGCTCAAACAGCAAATAACAGAGCAAAATTACGTGCAATATGACAAGAAACTAAATTGACTTAGCAAGCTAACTTTACCCTCCCTTTAAGATCACCTAAGCCCCTTTCATTGGGTTCATTAAGAACAAAATTTGAAATACATAACCCTTTTAGATCTTTGTGCAACGTTTTGAAATCACATTTCGTCAAAATTTATTCCACCCACTTGCTTTTCTGTATCACAACCTACATACTGAGTGCTTTAAATAATGATGTAAGTTCCTTCCTCACTTTCCCATGTAATTGTATAGAAGAAGATGAGCAAATATGCAGCTATTTAGTGTAAGAGGCAAGTAACTGCAACCTTCAGCGATCAGTATTGGGTTCAGGACAGTCTCGATCAACGGTCTATTGGATTTTTCGATTATAAGAGGCGCTCCACCGGTCGGTTGGGCGGGAGGTGGGCAACACTGGGTTCGTCATCATAAAAAATAAAAAAATACAGGGCAAATTTGCCTGTTAATTGCGGTGCAGCTGCAGAGGCATAGCTAAGGAGAAATCAGGGGAGCACTCCCTGTGTACCTGCCCAGCTGTCAGTATGGTCCGTTATCGTTTTCGTGGAAATTTCTTCTTTGATGGCTTTGCAAAGCTTGTATCGGTAGGCATCATTATTCTCCTGAACTTCACAAAACACTCCAAGTGGGTTGAACCTATGGCAAGGTGAAAGGAATCTCTTTAGCAGAACCAGCACAAGTGCACTTGATTGAAGCTCCGTGATTAAGCAAACTGTTAAACTAACTAACTAACTAACTGCTCGCGCGATTTGAACTACTAATGAGTGAATGAACTTGCTGCTCAGCAACAAAGCGCATTAGTCTAAATTGTTTTTCCAACAAATATTTTTGACTACGAACAGGTTACCGCGAGTGCATATAACCATGTTCGGAATTAGCAGTGTGTGCATACAATTATACAAAAATACATACATACTTATACGGTTATCTTCTCTCAATTACTTCTTCCGAATGCGGAAATCAAGCGAAATGGCCTTTGAATGATTGAATTTGCCTAATGAATTTTTTTCATCGAATTCAGACAATGCGCAAGAGTCAAAGTAAATTTTAATTTGATTATACCGAAACGAAATTGGTAATATATTTGAACCATATGAATAAATATATTATATGTATATAAAATATCAAGTAAGAGCACAACCATCTTTGACAAAGACAATCGGTTTTAAATTAATGATTTATTTGTTTCATATGAAAATAAGTAAGCGATTATAAACGAGTATATGTCATATATACATATATTCTAATTTCCAATTTTCAGACGTAATAATTAAAAAAACTTAAGATGATTTGGTCAGTGATACCCAAGAGCACAATATATATGTATATATGTTGTTGTTTGGATAGTTTTGGTACTCCATAAAATAAGACGTTTATATTCATTTTTATGAATAATCATTTTGGCATAAAAATCTGCACAAAAGTGTGTACGAGTATATTACGCCTGCTGTCAAAATGATAGCACCAGCAGTACACCAGATTTTAAGGTTATGTCCTTATATCCAAAATCTACAAAAATATGTATTTATAACGATGGAAAGAAAACGAAATCTATTTAAATTGAAATTAGTACCGAAAATAATTTTTTTTTCATAAATCTGATAAAATAATCTGTCAAAATAATATCACTGGTCATTTTGAGCAGAAAATAAAAATATTAAAATTGTTTTAATATCGGTTAATGAAGTAGTAATCTGAGTAGCTGCTCTTACGAACTAGTTTTAATATTTTTTTTGCGTAAAATTACTGCTCTGGGTTTAAATCTGGGGACTGTGCAGGTCATGCCATCAAATGGACATTATTGTCCTTAAACCATTTTATAGCTTTTTTGCTGATTTGCTTTGGGTTATTGTCTTGTTTCATGACACAAATCAGTAGCATATTTTCAAAAGCTTAAATCAGCATTACTTTCTCAAGTATTTTGATATATTCTGTTAAATCATGGTGGTATTAATACGTTAAATAGGCCCAACACCGCAAGACGAAGAACATCCCCATATCAAGGTACTGAAGCCGTTGGTTTTAAAGTCTTTGCGGTATGTTTTCTTTTATATTCCGAATTTGGTGCTCTTCGAACATGCGATCGAAATAAAACTACTTTACTCCAACCGCTCGGACAAATGCTTATTTAAAAAAAAAAAAGGACTTTTCGTGGAATGTGAGCTTTACATTATATACTCTAAGTCTCTTACAGTCGCAGTAGCCGAGTGGTTAGCATAGCATGCTGACATTCGGAAGGCTCTGGTTCAAGTCCCGGTACCACCAACATCCAAAAGTTATGGAAAATTAATTTAAATAAAAAATTAAATTAAATTTTCTAATTGCGGTCGCCCCTCGGCAGGGTATGTCCACCCCTCCGAGTGTATTTCGGATATTAAATAAAGGTTCCTCATAAAAAACCATCAGCCATTCGGATACGTCTTAGTAAAAACTGTAGGTCCCTCCATTTGTGGAAAAACACCTAGACGGTATATAACCGCACCCCTCTTAATGAAGGAAGCCAATGACTTGTGTTCAAATTATCGGACTACGAATTTCGGAAAAAATCTCACGTGGAGGAACAGTGCAGGCTACTTCGCTGCATTTTGGTATATCCTCTTCCATTCTTCCGAAAAGGTTCTCACAGTGAGCAATCTTCTTATTATCAACAATTTTTTTCCGACTATCGGAAGTACCTCTTGTGAAATCTTTTTAAAATTTATTTTCCTTTCGTGGTACATTATTGCGGGATATCCAAAAGCAGGACATTTGGGTTATATATACTCCTTGTCATTTAAAAACAGTCAGACTTTAAGCCATATCCACTAAATATTCATTTAGCACTTGAAATCCATTAATAAAAAGCTTCCCATAAAATGCTTGAGTCGTTAAAAGACGCCTGTATATAGGTCTGTCCATTTGTTGGAGCTCGGCTGAAAATCGCTTCAGCGGTTATAAAATGCCAATTGTCTACAGAAGAATTGCCTTTCTTAAGATCGGATGTTTGTTTCAATGTTAAGAGAAATTTATATCATTATTAATGTTAAACTATATCAGTCCAACGTCCGCCATGACTATGCTTACAGGAGCCTTTTTACGAAATTTTCAGTCAACAAATCGCAAGATGGCTGCTGAATGTCCTCAATCGTCATCTTTGAGGTCTTGAATCGATGTATACCTGTTGACGTACACCTTACCTTTCACGAGGGCGCAAAGAAAGAAGTCGTGAGGTGTTAAAGCACAAGATCTCGGTAGTCAATTGCGATCACCTTCTTCAAGCGATAACATGGACCGAAAACTTTTCCCTTGGAATATCGATGGTTTCGCTGCTTGTGTGGCCCGTCACGTCGTTTTATTGAACCTAAACGTCGTACAGATCAATTCCATCCAATTCCAACCATAAAAGTCATCAATCCACTTCGATGGCGCAATCCATTCACCCTAACAGTTGCTCAAGGTTAATTTTCAAAAAAGTAGGGTCCAGTGATCCCGACGTACCATAAACCACACCAAACTGGTACACCGTGAAGATGGAGAGGCTTTACAACAATAAATCTTATCTTATCGACCTCAACAGTAAAAGTGATTTTTCGATGAAATTCTGGATCATAAAGCATTTCACGGACCAACCAGCAAATACACGACATTATTGATGATCGGTCGGCTTGAGTTCTTGTGTTAACTGAACTCTA